ATCATTTGGTTTTTGAGTAAATTTTGGAATATTATGGTTGTATAAAGGTTAGAATATTTTATTTAGTATTATTTTTAATTATTAAAGTGTTGTTATTATTATTGTTTTTAATAATTGTACTGTTTAAAAGAGAGTTAAAGGAGGTTACAGATATGTTATTTTAATAGTTGATTAATGTTAATTAGAGTATGATTATGTTGTTAACCCTGTGATTGGCACTGGGAAGTGAGGGGGGAGGGAGGGGGGGTGGAAGGGTGGGAAGGGGAAGGGGGGGATTTATATTGTAAAATTTTATAAAATTTTCAATAAAAAAAAGAAAAAGAAAAAGGTGGAACCAGGTTCATAAAAGCCCATCTTTGAGACTCATGCTGGGAACTACCTGCTTAGCCACCTGGTCTTGTCTTTAGTTTTTGTTTTGTATACTGGTTCAAGAAATTGGCACCTGGGGCTACAATTCTGAACCTGGCACTGAAAGGCACACAACAGATACCCTGTATAAGAAACTGGCATGCTTGCTTTCCAATGAGGATGGGTAACCAAAGAGAATCCCAAGATGAGCGTGAGAAAATACAGAGAATAGGGAGGTGAGGGTTTTTTTTAAAAAATTGTGTTTAATGCTTCTTGAAAGGATTAAATCCCCTATTTTACAAGGCAAGCATAAAAAGCACCCATCTTTTGAAAGCCCCTAAGCATCAATAGCTACATAGTTAGAAGCTGGTGTGTCTCACTCCCTCTGCTTTTAGGAATCCTTAATATTTAGAAAATAGTTGTCTCTGCCCACTTGCTATAATGCAACAAAAATTTTAAATATATGAAACTAAAGATTTTTAACAGATATAGATAACAGTATACAGCTGCCCAATTTGGGGGGGAGGGGTTGGAAAAAGATTTCCTGTTTGCTGGAAAGAGTAATAGAAAAAGTACAGGGGGAGGGAATGTTTGACACCATTTTATTAACCTTCAACTGCAGTGGAAAAATATAACCTTTTACAAATGCCATCCTGTGTAAGCTTCAGTATATAAAACTAACCCCATATCAGAACCAAATAAAGAGAATAGGCAAAGCAGTTTCCAAATTGTACTTTTATCTTTTTTTTGTTTGAACATTTAATTTCAACTTCAGTTTTGCAATCCAATATTTCCTGAAAGTTTTTTTTTTTAGACTTTTAAAAAATTCTTTGGCACAATTGTGTATGGTTCAGGCTTTGTTCACAGCAAAAGGGGCTTTGTCCCTTTTACTTGTTTTTATTATCACCAATTCAAAGTTGTGTTTTGTTTCAAAGCCTCACATCCCATTTGGAAAAACTGGATCCTAATGTCTCCACTAACATGTCTTCTGGACACCCTACCCGCCTCTCACCCCACCCTGGGTTTCTACATTCACAGTTGAACAAAACTCAGGAAGGAAAGGCGCTTTTTATTGAAACAAGATTGTGAAAAAAGTCACAACGGGAGCTTTGAACATCCCACCTACAATCCCCTAAAGAAACCCTACATGGGGCAACTTCTATTTACCCCTCCCCCCTTCAAATCTCATACTTTTCTGCCACTTCAAGTAGACTGAACGTGTGAGTTTAGGAAATGCAACTGCTAATCTTTTCAGTGTTTCTTTTGGGAAACATTAACTGCAATTGAGAATGTAGATACTGCCTCATTCACACACACGCACACACACTCTCTCTCTTGAAAGAAAATCCTTCACCCTTCCCATTTGTCTTGAGCAATGACAGTGTTGTGTGTCCAAAAACTCCCCTCCCTCCTGAAAAAAGGTAACTGGTGGGCTGGGGACCCCATCTTCTCCTCTCTAACAACAAAAGCCAGACCTTATTATGTGAGTACTCAAATTGAACCTGAAGCTAGCTTTTCTCTGTCCTAGACTAAGTAAACTACCTCTTCACTGTCCAAAAGACAGAGAATTAGTCCTTGTCAGAAGAGACTGTACTGAATCATTTTCTACTTCCTGGAGGCAAGCAATGACAAGGTTTTGCTGCTATTCAAGTCAGTGATTAGCTCCATTAACAGTGGTTTTGCCATTTGCCGTGGCTGGATTTTCACCTTGGTGTGTTTAAGCCTCTCACTCACGCATCCTCTCATTCCCAAACACTCAGCATTCGTGCACACTCCTCACTTCGGGTTGGTTTTTTTTTTCCTCAATAGATTGGAGAATTCCAGTGGGGGTCTCAGGTGTCATCCCAACAGTAAAAGATCTGTAAGTGAAGAAAAATAAGGCAATGCAGTGTAATATAAAAAGAGACACTTGCAATTTCTTTAGTAGCAATAAGATTGTTTCATTATTGCGGGTTTTTTAAACAAATATTCCTATTAGACAACTTTTTCACTTCAATTTGTCACATCACGTTGCATAAGATTTCTTACATTTTTTAAAGCAGGTCTTGAAAGAAATAAGGAATTTTTGAATAGGAGGACATTGAAGACAAAGGCCATGGGGACGACAATCCAAACGCTACTTCCTACACCATTTTGAAGCTTACTCAGTGGGGAATTAACATATTTGGGCCTTACATTAGTTCTCCCAACTTCTAATGCAAACTGTATAGGAACAACTCAGATGTTTTAAAGAACAAAAAAGTTGGAGCCTCCTTACCAAGCTTGATTTTTCAGTTTTCTCAACTCTTTAGTGGCCCAGGTAGCAAGGGTTTTTGTTTTGTTCGTCGTTGATCTTCTTCCTTCAGTTAGTAATTCATGTATCATGGGCCTAGCTTCTACCATCTTGAGGACATCTTTCCCAAATGCTGTGCACAAATCCCTGTGGAAAGCAAAGAATATAAAGAAAAACCTCCCAGTACTTGATTTCAATGATTGCTGAGGCTCACGGGTGTCAAACTCGCTGTGTCACGTGTTGCGACGTATCGTGACTTTTTCGCATTGCTGGAGCTGGGGTGGGTGCGGCCTCCGCATGATGCAACCGGCCTGTAGGCCGGCAGTTTGACACCCCTGTTGTGGGTAGTTGAGTTTAACTCTTATGAGTTATGACTGCAGCACATCTCCCCCGTGGTCATATGATCATACTTCAGGCACTTGGCAACCAGCTCACATTTACAACCAGACGCAGCAACCCGTGGTTACGTGACCACAACTTGCAACAATTGTTTTTGTAGTTTTCTGGCAGAAAATGCCCATTGGATATGCTGGATTCACTTGACCACCATGTGGTTTGCTTAGCAACTGCAGAGACCTGCTTTATATCTGTTGTAAAAACAGTTGTAAAATTGAATCTGGTCACATGGTGTCTCAACTTACTGTATGACCAAAATTCTGGGCTCCATTGTAGTCATAATTCAAGGACTACCTGTAGTCACCCCCTAAGTGGATTACTGCAATGCACTATTTATGGGGCTGCCCTTGAAGACCATCTGGAAGTTGCAACTGGTCCAGAATGCAGCGGTGTATGCCCATTGAAGCCCACAAGTCATAAAAGAGCCAAGGTTCCCTACCCCTGCCATAGCCCATTTGAAGTTTCCCTTGCAAGTGAAACCACTGATAGTCAGCTTTTGAAATTGAGTCCTATTACACCATTCCACAGTCCCTTTGCACTTACTGTAACCACAGCCAAGCACTCTGAACTGTTAACTCTTTACATGACTAACCACCTGGACTTTCCAGTCATTTTGGGGTGTGGACGATTACAATCCCACGACCCCACAATTTGTTGGAAGATGCGTCCTTTTACATTTTATGACCTGGCCTGTCTCCATCATTGTGATCAGCAGTCCAAAACCCCCCACCAGCCAACCCTGAACCCAAGCAGGGAGATACCCAACCTACCAAGCAAATACGCAGAGTTTGCAGACGTATTTGGGGAGGAAGAAGCCCCAGTCCTCCCCCCACAGAGATTGTGACTGTGCCATAGACTTGATCCCAGGTGCTAAAATACCTGCCAAGAGACAGTATCCAATGCCAGCTAAGGAATTAGAAACCTTGAAGCAGTACTTAGTCTCTAACTTTCAAAAGGGCTTTATTAGACTTTCAAAATTAGCCTCAGCACCAACCTTTTTTGTACTCAAGAAACAAGACCTGAACACACCAAACACAAATGAAGTGCCCCCCTCCACGTATGGTCCACAAATACCAAGCCCTCAATTCTGTGACAGTCAGAGACCACTATCCACTGCCCTTAATTTCAGATCTTTTGGACAGGCTGCAGAAGGCACAAATTTTTACCAGGTTAGATTGTCAACTCTACAAATGAGCATGGCTGCAGCCATTTTTTCTTCTCATTCTAGGTTGCCACATAGAACGGAGGGAGGGGGGTTGCCCAGGTGCTTCATTAGTCAAAATAATATTCTGTCCCGTGGGAACCAAGGTCATCAGCTGCTCCGGAGACTAGGGACTGGGCGTTGCATAAAAACCCCGCCAAATAATCATATTGGTGAACGTAGTTGCTTGCATAGTTTTATGGGTGGGACATTTAACGTTGTATTGGGAAATTGTTACTTGTGTATTCAGACTTGGTTTCACTTTTGACCGTGCCGATACTTTGTAACTAATAAACATGTTCTTTGAGGAATTCTCAAGCCTCGGAGTTCTGCTTTATTCGTCTCTCTCTGTCGGAACCATGACATAGATCTTTGCAATGCCTACAATCTCATTAGAACCAAGGAGGGCCACAAATACTTAACTGCTTTCAAAACCTGGTATAGCAAGTCTGAATTCACTGTGATCACATTCAGGTTGGTCAATGCAGGGGCAATATTTTCCAGATTTATGAACCAATTTTTTTCTGATCTCAGTGATAAATTTGTAGTCCTTTATCTGAATGACATCCTGATCTACTCTGAGGATGAATCTCAGCAAAAAGAACATATGTGTACAGTTCCGAGTAGACTGAGAGACAACCACCTCTTTGGTAAACCAGAAAAATATGCCTTTGATCTAGCACAGTTAGATTTCTTGGGCTACCATATCTCCACAAATGGTATCCAGATGGACCTCCAGAAAGTCAGGACAGTGCTGGAATGGCAAGCTCCCTGCACAGCCAAAGTCATTCAAAATTTCCTGGGCCTTGCAAACTTCTTCAGAAAATGTATCCCTGGCTTTGCCCATAAAGACAAACTGCTTACCTAACTAACAAAGAAAGGAGTTAGATTTGCTTGGACTCACACGCAACAAACAGCCTTCAAAGAGTTAAAGCAGCTCTTTGCCCATCAGCCCCTACTTCAGCATCCAGAGCTATCAAAGAGATTTATTGTTCAGACAGATGCTTCAGAGATAGCAATCAGAGGTGTTCTTTTACAAAAGGGTGAGTTTATAAAGGCCCACAGTTCCAATTCAGATTTTGGAAAGCACCGTTTTAGCTCTTGAATATTCAAGTCAGCCTATCTTCAGCCCACCACCCGGTCATGAATGGTGAGGCAAAGAAGACTAACCAGCTGCTCCAACAATATTTGAGGTGTTAATGCACCTACAGCCAAGACAACTGGCCATCATTATTGCTCCTGGAAGAATTTTCTTATAACTCTCTCCACATATCAATTTCAATGACACACTTTCAAGCTCTGTATGGAACACACCCAAGAGTATTACCAGACAACTCCACAGAAGACTCATCTGTCCCAGGAGCTGTTGATTTCTTACAGGAGCAACTTGCTGCCCAAGACCTATTGAAGCAACAGCTCAACCAAGCAAAGCAGTCTTCCTGATTTAGTTTGCCAATTTCACCAATGCTTCCCTGAGAAGTCACAACCGGCCAAGCTTCCAGATCCCCGCACTGCCCGAAGAACCTGCTGATGGAGTTACCAGCCTCTATGGATCGCTCTGGGGGTTTATGATGTAAAAAAAAAAAAGCTCTTGGTAAAGTATCTCATCTTTATATGAGGCAAGACTAAGATTCACTGTGGGACTTTTAAGCTACCCTTGTGCCCAAGCACAAAGTAAGTCTTCAGCATTTACCCTATCAGTCCTGCTGCACAGGCTACGACTCCATCACTATGATCTTCATCTGCAGCAATATGGTCAATGAAAGACAAGATGAATTCTACTCTAGGCTGCACCAGCATCACATCCGCTGAAAAGGAAGCATAATTTAGTGTTATAGGATTACATTATAGGTTTATTTCTTCCTATCAATATCAACAATTCTGGAAGGTTTATCTTAGCATCCTGTTCAGTGATGGGCCTCATTTGAATCAGAGGCAACCTACAAAGATATTGGTTTTTTCTGGCATTGCCTCTACACCTTCCTTGTACATGCTAGCTTAAAACTATTTTTAGTGCTCATACAAAAACTGATGCATATCTCTACATGAGAAACACAGCAGTATTTGAGAGAGAAGGGAAAATATAGCTATGTGACTGACGACTCAAGCTTCTAATAACACTGAATGGTTTCATGAGGTTTTATTGATTATAGTGTGCTGGAACAGAAGGGATTCATGAATTTGTGGGACTATAGAAATAAAGCATTGGGGTTTGCTTAGAAAACACAGTCCTTCTGCCTCTGCCATTATCTATTCCACATTCATCATTCCTTAACCTATGGTAGTTCAGTTGAGTTTAATGCAAGTTAATAGTTGAGGAAAAGAATCCTTTAACATTTTTAAAAATTTGACACATATTCTAATCTTCTATAGCTACTTGCCTAAAATTGTGTACTGTATGCTATTTTAATACAAACTGAAAGGAAAGGGCAAAATCCCACAGAAGTTAAATCTTCCCAAATCTGAAAACTTTTGTTCACCCCCAAAATGCCTCACTATTCTGAAAATCTGCTGATTTCTTAGACTGGACTGGGTACACACCAATCTATTCCCAAAATGTATATTTAAACAGGAAACATTACAACTGTTCAGGATGAACTCAGGAAGAGGGGCTCTAAATGGAAACCTATACTGAAAGTAGCATTGCTGCATGTACCTGTTTCAAGTTGGGAAAGGGCTGTGGTTATTCTTTTTTGTAAAAATATAGATGTAAACAAAGGGCATCTGGTAACTTGGCCAGGACTGTAAAAATAGGCCATTTATGATAACTCCACCTCTGACAACCAAAAATACCCTGAAAGTTCATACAAGGAGAATAAATACAACCACGTTCTACAATGCAATAGCTCCAATCTAAAAACAAAGCAAATTAAGAGGCTTGCACTGACAATTTCCCATTATTATTAACAGGAGTAAACAATGGCAGAAACTGAATCTCATGCACAGGTTAATATTTGTGGTACTTGAGAAAATGTAAAAGGGACTCACGATGTACATTCTCTTGATCTCCTTTCAGACCCTGAATGATGCCTGTGTATGCTTCCAGGCAGGTCTCTCGCAGTTCATTCAGGTAGTCTACCATGTCATAATCAGACTAAGGCCAAACATAAAAAGGAGTTAATTTGGGATTACTGTTCTAGCTACCATCCATCCATCCATCCATCCATCCATCCATCCATCCATCCATCCATCCGTGTTTCCCCGAAAATAAGACCCAGTCTTATTTTTTTTTGCCCCCAAAAGAGGCACTAGATCTTATTTTCGGGGGATGTCTTACCCCGTCTCACCTCGCAGTGGTGCTGACAGCCCCACCGTCACACTTCTTCTGCGGCCACTTGTGTGCGTCACCCCCAGCCTGCTCTGATGGTGAAATGCAGGCTGGGAGGTGCCGCACGCGTCAATCCGGAGTTCCATTCTGAGCTGCAGAGGCATTTCCTGAAGGCCTCTGATGGCGAAATGGAGGCCGGGGGTGACACGAGCATGAGCGGCGGTGAGCAGCCACAGAAGAAGTGGGCCGGCAAGGTAGGTGTCGGGGCATGGGAGGCCTGGCTGCAACGGTAAGCAGGTGCGGGGCGTGTGGGGCAGCTCCACCCCCACCCTAGCTTGACTTTTAGGCGTGCACCTTGCCACAAACCTAGGGCTTATTTTTGGGGTAGGTCTTATTTTCGGGGAAACACGGTATCTTCTCAAACATATGAGAGCCCCAAAGATTGTTTACCTTATCAACCTGGGCTTGAGAAGCCTGCTGTAGAGTATTCAATACAACTTCTAAGTATTTTTTAAATTCTCCTCCAATTGCAAGAGCAATGTCTCCAAATACTGAGAGAATTTGTGGTTTAACAGACTGGTGCACATTTTCATTCTGTAAAGACAAACTGTCATTTTATTCACAATAAGCATTTTAGCTTTTAGAAATTACTTTGTTAAATTAGCCATTTTGGATCTAATTCTCACTAACAGAGATGAAATGATAGAAGGTGTTGAAGCCACAGGAACCTTGGGAGGTAGTGATCATGCAATATTGGAATTCAACATTATGGAAGCACAAGCAATAGAACATAGTCAAACTAGAGTCTTGGACTTCAAGAGAGCTAATTTCAATAAACTTAGAGAGGGCTTGGGAAAG